GATTGTTTATATACCTTTATCGTCTCTTTTGTCATCCTTAATTGTAATTCTCAACGCAGTTTTATCAAATGGTTGATTGTTGTTTTGTTCTGTCGCATTTGTACCACCCCCCCTCCCCTAAATTGATGCGTGACGTCATTATGAGTGAGTGCAAGTACCATTCATTTAATTACATTTTAATTTGTAAATGGCAATTGTGCAGTTTTAAGTACGATTTAAAAAAGAAAATTGAAAAGTAAAAAAAAAAACGATTTAGCGATCTCTTTCCTCTTTCATACTGTGTTTGCTTCAAAACCACGTAAGATACTATTTTATCATATAATTATCTATGAAATATACAGCCTTTTGCAAAAATTATGAGAATTGTCGAAATATCTAAATATCATAATATCGAGTGCATGATGGGTAATCCCGCGCGATGCCCTTAGTCCCTTGTCTTTGTAGTTTAGTTTTGTTTTGGCGACAGACTTATCCGTAGTTCTGAACATTTTCTCGATGTCAACAATGAATTATTCTAGCAAACCCGCGTGTTCCGGACAATATATGGATATGGATATTATGATATTTAGATATTTAGACAATTCTCATAATTTTTGCAAATGGCTGTATTTTATATTATATATATATTTATATATATATTTCTCCATTTCGTAAAGTTGATATTTTCACTAGTGAAAATAACACATTCGAGGTTTCTCTATATAGTGGAAGAAAGAAAAAAGGTATTTTACGACAAAATTTGCTGTCATATGTAATTATATGATAAACAGAATATTATACATGGCCGCTTGGAGATACGAATTGTATCTTCTCGTGTTGAAAATCTCTATTTAATCTTCAATCATTTCAACACTCGAATATAAAATCCGTTTCAGTCTCCGCGCGCCCATGTAATATCCTCTATTTTTCTGTAACAGCCCGTGAAATGCAAGAGATCTGTGGGTATAGACGACAACGAAGATAGTTTGAAATCTAAGCAGTTTTATCTGAATTTCTGCATATCTTATAACATCCAATTGAGTCTAAAACAGTGTAAAAGAGAAAGCTACTCAACTATCTATAAATTGGTTAAGTGACTGCATGGGTCCAAAATCTCTTTGAAAACACACAGTTCCAATATGTTCTGAATTCCACTGAAAATATTAAACAAATTAAATGAAATGCTATGTTTTTATTCGGCACGGATAATCTAATAAAAAGACCGACATTGAAGTTTTGTTCGCTGGCAAGTTCTTGGTGAATTTTTGGCCGATTTCAATGCTTTCGCTTTATCTCSTCTGTGATTGGCTGAAACATTTATTTTCAACCAATCAGAAAGTTCGATCAAAAAATTGCCCTAAATTTCTTCTCTTTTTTGCATTGAATTCCTTAACAGCAGTCCTCAACACGACACTCTATCTGAATAAAAATTTCATGATAACTACCAGGTAACGAGTAGAAAGCAGAATATATTTGCAAATTTAATGTTTTTTTGTGTGAAAGAATAATAATGCCATTTTACATCAAAAATTATAGTARGTATTCTCTATATATTAAGCTGGTTTAACTGGAAATATTACTAACTGTGTATAAACAAAATACTTAAAAAGCATGACCTTTAAAACCAGTCTGTATGATTGTGGTTGACCACTGAAACTTTGGATTTCAATAATCCATGTGTTGAGAGACGAACACTAATTAATTTATTTTAATTACAATCTATAGCTCTGCAGAAAAATGAGTGAAAATGTTATTACTGATTTTTTTGTCATAAAAATGTTCACTTGTTTATCAATACCTTCATAGGCAGTATAGTCTAGGTACATCCGTTTGGAATCAAAACGTTGGTTACCCAGGCAAATCTACGTAAAAATTATCCTATATTTTGAACACCCTACATGAATTATAATTTGCCTTGTAAAAGAGATTTTAAAGCATTTATATTAGAATAATATTAGAATAATAAGAAAGATAAGTGAGAGAATTCCAAGTGAAACTGAATATAGAATTAATCTGTGTGAAGGCGGCATTTCCTTGATATTATGAAAACAATAGAACAACGTTGGTTCATTACGAAGAAATGTTACTCTTGAATAACCTTCATCAGCTCAACTTGAGCTTTCATTCAGATTTTTGTTCAGCTGGTAAACCTCATTAACGCTCATTGTTTTTAATTCACAGCAAAGAAGAGAATAAATTGCTGAATTTTTCCTCTAAAACTCGATTAATTGATACACAACAACTAGGCATTKTGGAGATTCAGTTCGCTTCCAGCGTAATTTCCTCGGTAGTTTTCCATGCTAATGGTTTAGTTATTGCATTTTCTAGCTGAGTACTGCCTTAATTACTCTAAGCAGGAGTCTTACTTTGATAATTAAAAATGTTTATGACGATAATGGCGTTGTTTTGAACCCAAAAGTGAACGTATCCTTCCATAACCTTGCACACATTAGAAAGTTATCATACGGCCAATTCTTGTGTAAACAACACACATGTACAATACTAATCCATTGTAAAGAGTGAATTCAAAGACCCAAATACATATAAAAGTTAATCATCAACATTAGCATACTGGTGATTTYAAACATTCCATCGGTGTGTGTTGGATATTTTACTTTAAACTAACTCGCCAGCGTTAGTTTCCTCTGCAGGTTGTTCAGAACTAGTTGCAGTCTCTGAACCTTCAGTGGGATGAATTCCGCTCATGTAATCTTTATAAGAAAAACCTGATTGAAAAGCTGGCTTGGGACTTGGTTCAGCGTGTGTTTTGCGCGGTTTTGGATGCGGTGCAGGAGGTTGTTTTGGCGAAGGATCTGTCGGGGTTTCGGTTGGAGTAGACGGAYCTGATTCCACAGGGCTTTGTAAAGGTTCTTGCTGATTTTCTTGAGTGGACTCCGTGTCGCTAGCACTTCCTGTGGACCCTGATTTCGAACTAACCCTTTGACGAGAGTACAAGTGAATATCATCCGATAAACTTGCTTGCTTTTTCATGAACGGTTTCGGTTTAAAAGCATCAAGATGCGAAGTGCTGTACTTTTTAACCGGCGGTTGCTTTGGTTTACCTTCCTCGTCAACATGCGTATCGCTCACGTCAGATCCTACCGAAGCACGACGTTCGATTTCGGTAGAACCAGTTCTAGGCCTTGTGCGGTGTGTCATCCCGGCATGGGAATGTCGCTTACCAAAAGGTATAGGCGCTGTGCTAGCCGCAGAAGGYAGTTTATGACGAGGAAGCGAGGATTGTGGTAACGGTGCCTTATCTGTTGYGATGGTGGACGGTTCTTCCTGGATCGTTTCATCTTTGGTTTGAGCAGGCTCTTCTTTAATTATACTKCCATTAATTCCTGCTGGCGGTTGGACAYCAGATGAACCGTCTGCCAAGTCCTGTGCAGCAAAGCTCTCATTTAAAGCATCTTCCACATCTTTACCAGCATCATTTCCCGCTTCGTCGACTTCRGGTGACTTTACCACGCTCGCCATGTTTGCTTTCGAATCAACGAGTTTATTTTGAGATTCCAATACAGCGTTGCGTGTTTGAAGTTCTTGCACGAGTGTTTCTAGCCTTTGATTCTCAGCTTTCAAGTCCGAGTTAGCTTTTTCTAGAGTTGAATATCTTAGAGACGCTTCTTCGAGCTCTTGCCTAAGCTTTTGAATCTCGTTAACATAGGTTTCGCACTTGGTTGCCGATTCGCAGTACTGCTGACCGGAATTGATCTCTCCTCCTGTCGCTTTCTCGTTTCGTCCCTCCATCAGTGAATCGCAGAGAACCTGCAGTTCTTTGTTCTTTGAGCGAAGATTTTGAACCTCTACACTTAGTGATTGGTTGCTCTCATCTTCCCTGCTGTCAGTAACTGTGGATCCGTTCAGGGTGGTACTATTTTCTCCCTCCATTTCTAAGCGAGCAACAACAGGTTTCGAGTGCTCGTTGGCTGTTGTCCCGTCCAGCGCGTCTTCTATTGGGTCAGATATTTCAACAATGTTCAGGCTGTCACGCTCACAGTCTGTGTTCTCGTGTTTCATTTGAATTTCGGTATCTTCAACTTGCTGTTGATGACCCGTTGAGGAGTCATAATTGTCACCCTCGTCAGCCATTTTTAGAGCCACTGGTTCACAACAGGCTGTTTCGTGTTTTTTGTTTTGTTGCGTGACGGTAGTAATGCTTGTAGTTTTATTGCATTCGTTAATCAATGAATCGTGAAGCTCTCTCAACACCTCGAGCTGTTTTCTACACAAGTGAAACTGTTTTTGACATTCCTCAAGCTCACTCGATAGCCTCTGAGTTTGACCTTCGAGCGCAAGACGTCTTGATTTCTCTTTCACAAATGATGTTCTACAGTTCTCGTATTTTGCATAATATTCTTTAGAGATAAGGGACAGCTGAGACTCAAACAATGAAGTTTCCTTCTCACGACACAACCGTGCTTCAACGGCCAATTCTTTCCAGTTTGCAAGCTCTGMGCTTGCAATATCACTTCGTGTTTTGTAAAAACTTAGAAGCAAMTGCAACTGGTGATGTAAATCGGGACTAGATCCGTCRTAAACAAGRAGTTTGTCATCAAAAATGTCTTCATTCTTTTTGTATTCACTCAAAATCTGTCGAATCTTATCCTCATGGGAATTGTTGATCTTTTGTAGACATGCTATCGTGGTGTCACGCTCCTGGATGTCACGYTGATACTCACGAAGATGGAGCTCGTACTCCCAGCACTCTTTGTAAGTCTTTTCAGTTTGYTCTCCTTCGTTATCCATATCTTTCKTCTCTAAATCAAACAAACATTGTTTATATTTTGACTGCCATTTGAAAACAGACCCCTCCAGTTTCGATATMTCGTTTTGATAATTTCTTCGCGTGGTCTCAAACAGTTGTTTGAATTGTCTGATTTGATGATCTTGTTCTGTCATTTTATGGGTCAAATCAGCGACTTCTTGCGTGAGTTTAGAGTTAAGTCTTTCGCTTTCCAAAAATTCTTTTTCAGTAACTCGAACACGCTCGAGAAGCTCGTCTTTCTCTCGTTTAAGATTAGCAGATTGTGTTTCAGTCGAATGCGCGATTTCTCGGTCRCATTCCATTAGTTCTTCTTTGCAAATTTCATTTCCCTTCCCGCTGCAGGAACACTTTCTTTTCATTAGATTCAATGTCTCTTCAAGCTCTGCGTTCTTGGCTTGCAGCTCRTACACTTCTTCCATAGCACCTCTCATTCTCTTTTGCGCCAGCTCCTCGGCTTGTTTGAATCCTTCGACTTTATGAACAGCAGAGTTGAGATCTTGTTCAATTTCTTGCAAACTTTGATTCATCGTACTCACTTGTTTTTCCAGCAACTGTTCTCTTCTTGTGATGCACAAATTACTTGCTTCAGACATGCACAGCCTCTTGCAAGTTTCGAGATAATCTTTCCTCAAAGTTTTGTTTCGTTTCTCCGCTTCTYGAATAAAATCCAATAAATTTGAATTCTTTCTACTGGCCAATCGCAAATCTTGTTTTATTTTAGCTGAACGTTTGTGGTTTACCAAAACTTCATCGTAATAATTATTCTCTCGTTGCTTGGATTGTTGTAAGAGCGACTCCAGTGATGAAATCTTTCTTTCTGCTTTCTCTAAGCGACGCTGAAGCTTTGCTTCCGAGAGGAAGTCGTCCTTTACCATAGCTATTTCGTAATGAGTTTAATGCCCTTCAGCTTTCAAAAGCTTTGACTCGACCAAATACACGACCACGGCTTTTTTTCCTTCAGGTAACATATATATTTCCTCAGTCCCAAGCGAGAAGGGAAGATTACCTCTCAAAACTAGTCTGACATGCCAAAATGACTAAATTTCCAAGCTTTGTACACAGTGCTGGTCCATACTCATACATGGCTGCAAGTGYTCTCAATGTAGTGACTTCTCGTCGACAAATAACTTATTGAATGCAATAAATAAAACATTCTGCATTGTTCACTGCTTTGTTCATTAAATTTAGAAACCAACTACGRTAACAACCACATCCACCTCGCGACTGTTAAATTGATAATAATTTCAAACATCTTAAATTGTATACACAACGAGTAATAATAAAAATCAGCTGCAGTTTTAATACGTTCCAACAGTTTGTAGCTAGATATTCTTTTTGTGTTAAGGCGCGCTCTTGTCTCGCATGTTATTATAACCGTTTTTCTGTCACAACTTTCTTTTGGTCTCTGTAATCAAGGATATTTAGAATACAAAACGACTCGAATACATATTGTGGTGGATTCGCAAAAATGCATTTCCATATATACTGCGTGCTAAATTAAATCAAGGATGAATTTAGARTACATAACTGACGCAAAAATTGGTTTCGATGCGTTTTTCATGTCTTAGTATTTTTAATTAGAACGCAAAAAAGACTCAATACGCATTTTATATTCCTGATATTAATCGAACATTATTTGCGCGCATTTAAATTCTAGAACCGCGCGTGCTTTGTTTTTAATTTGTACCATTTTCACGCGTACGTGTCTATGATACTCTTGTAAATACTGATGAAGGTCCATGTTCGGACCGAAACGTCTAGTAAAAAAGTATTTTTTTAATCTAAGCCAGAGGCCAAAAAATACTTTCAATTTATTTTGGATTCCGGCTGTAATTTTCATATTTTTACGCATTTTGAGTATACTGTAGGTTTTTTGTAGCCATTTCAATATCTTAACAAAACGATACCAATAATCTGTCAAATGCAGTGCAATTACGCAATAGTCACAAAGTATGCGTATATCATAAAGATATATTAGACGAATTGTTCTCTTTTGGTAAAAAAGGTTCTACAGACGCGACTTTGTGTGGCGTATGTTTTTCGTCGAGACATGAATCAAAGATCTGAAAATGCGGTCAAACCACTACTGCATTATTAATATCGCACCGTTCATTGTTATACACATTATTTTTTCAGAGATTTGAAGCCATTGTTAAAACTGGCGCGGGCCGACCCATTTGTTTTGACAGGAAAGCTAAGCACCTTGGCCAATCAGATTGAAGCAAAACAGGATCGAAGGGGAAAATATAGAGSATATTTRCCTAGAGATCGATGGCTRATGTAAAGGTAGAAAYAGTGTTGACTAYAGAATAAAACCGACGCTTTYTT